CCGATTGAATTTGRTRTAGGTGATTTTGTGATGTTRAAAGTTTCGCCRTGGAAGGGTGTCATCAGATTTGGAAAGAAGGGTAAGCTCAGTCCGAGGTATGTTGGGCCGTTCAGAATATGTAAGCGAATTGGGCCAGTAGCATATCAGTTAGAGCTGCCAGAAGAGCTTAGTTTGATTCATAATACCTTCCATATATCAAATTTACGGAAATGTTTAGTTGATCCGAGTCTCGTTGTACCATTACCAGAGGTCAAACTGGACAGTAAACTGAACTTTGTGGAAACACCAGAAGCCGTAATTGACAGAAAGATCAGAGTGTTGAGAAACAAGGAAATCAGTCTGGTTAAAGTACAGTGGAAGTTTCACAAAGGACCAGATGCAACTTGGGAATTGAAATAAAAAATGAGAGCAGATTATCCATGGCTCTTTGATTAAAGGAATTCCGAGACGAAATTCTTTTGAGTGGGTGGATAATGTGATAACCGGGTTCTGGTTATTACCCAAGGTATTTATTATGTGAATTAATTGTGTATGTGGATACATGCTTACATGGGTTAAATACGTGAGTATGTGTATTTTTATGCATATGGATATATGCATATTACAAAAGGGCTTATACAAGTGATCGGATTAAGTATAAACCGATATGGATATATGTATATTACAAAAGTGCTTATACATTTTTATAAAAGCTTTGATTATTACTATAGAAAGAACTGTGTATTATTATTAAAAAAATTGGTTTTGTGCAATTTGGTTTATTCGGACAAGGGGTGATCGGATTAAGTATAAACCGGGCAAGGCTTGTCCGGATTACTCTTAAACCGGATAGGAGTTATCCGATTTATCTATAAATCGCTTAAGTGTTGTGCAATTTAGGGTGTTAGTGAGAATTTGAACTATGCAAACCGGACAAAGGTTTTGAACGGAGAAGTAGGAATACGACCAAGCATTGTTCGGTTTAGTCATAAATCACTCAAAGGTTATGCGAACTAGTTATAAATCGGACAAGTGTATTGTCCGGATTGCCTTAAACCGGACATGAGTCATGCGGTTTAGTTTTAAATTGATTAAGGTCATGCGATTTAGTCTTTAATTAACCATGTGTTGTCCGGACTAGTAAATTGGACAAAAGGGACAAGTCTTGTCCGGATTGTATATCTGGATAACATGTCCGGGTGGCTTATATTTGATAATTTTTATGTGTTGAATAATTTAGACATTTATATAATTTAAGAATGTCTATTATTGGGTTTAACTATGGAATTATGAAAAAGGGTATTTTATATCTTTTTAAATAAAAATATATGTTCCAACCAAGCGTGGTGACATAAGTCTGTTTTGGTATGGAACTGGATTTTGTAAACTGTTTCTACCAAGCGTGGTGACGTAAGTCTGTTTTGGTACGAAACTTATTTTAAGATGTAGTTCTCCCAGACGTGGTGACTTTTGTCTGTTCTGGCTTGGAACTGGGAATGGGTACTTTCAGACGTGGTGACTTATGTCTGTTCTGATAAGTGGCCCTGTTTTGATGAAGGAATAAGGGTGGCATATTAAGGAGAGGTGTACTTGGAATAAGGGTGGCATTGTCATATGTGGATATTATTATAACTCTTGTTATTGTTACTAATTGGATTTAATAACTTTGAGTCATCATTTCTTTGTGACCTGATGAATTAGAGATGTTATTATTATTAGAAATAATAATTTAGATGTTATTGAGAAGGGAAAATGGTTTGTCATAAAGGGCAAGTATTGCCTAAATATTTTCGTTAATATTTACAAAGGAATGGTCTGATGATTCAAAGAAGTTTTGGTTACAATATTTGTTTCATATTAGGAACGTTGGATCTTTAAGCAGATGTATTTTATTAATAGAATTGAGATTCTTGAGTATATCCTATTATATATGTCATTGAGAACTGCATTATTTGATTGTATTGCAAATATTCCTGATCAAAGATGTTTTATTATATTTTGGTGTTTATCACTCTGCATTTTGCAAAGAAATGATTCACTCATTAGACCATTCTTGTCTAACCCTCATTTTCTGTCTTTAAAATATGCGATGCAGGAATGGCGGCGTCCAGGGATAATAAGGGGAAAGGGAAAATGTGATTATTTTCCTAACCTGTTATCTGCTTTTGAAGACCTGTTTAAGATTGTTTATTTTGAAGATACATGTTGTATTACATGTGTTAGTACAGGATTTGTTTTTGAATTTTTCATATGTAGATTTTGTACATATAAGAATCCTTGTACTAGTGGGACCATGTGATGTAAACTATGTTTCTATGTAATGAAATATGTATTATATGCAAATGTGATATTTGGGGGTATTACACATGCACTAGAGATATCATACAAAATGCAACTTCCTTCAAAATACAGAGCAAAACTATCACTTAGCTCCAAAAGTTGATTTCAGAAGTCACTGGTCAATAAAGAATACCGTCTAAAACATTATTTTAGCGGGAAAAAATTCCTAATTTTAGTAATGAATACACATGAATTAGAATATTTAACACACAATAAACAAAAACGTGTGGCTCCTACAAATAGTTAAAAAAATTTTGAATGTCAAACCCAAAATTTTAGTTCCTTACCGAGATACGACAATTTTTGGTTATTTCAGACAATATTGAAGATGATTTTCATCACGTTCAAAATAGTTGAGTAGATTTCGAGAATTTGGTGATCTTTGTCGTGGAATTAGTCAGTGGTCGATAGTGTTCTCCCATGAATCTTGAAAAGAAATCACCTTGGAAAGTTTGAAAGGGTTTAAAATATTTGGACGAATTGAAAAGACAACAGATACAGGTTTCCACATTGCCATCGATTGTCAAACAAATTACAAAATACCACCGTGCAAATCATCATCGTAGATCAACTATAGATTTTAATCTAATGAATAGAGATTGGTCTCATGGATCTCAAGAAATCCACTTGGTCTCACGTGATCGATCTCTCTCTCTCTCTCTCTCTCTCTCTCTTTATATATATATATATATATATATATATATATATAGGGACTGATTCATTTGTTAACCATACATTTGGTGTTAACCATGTGAACCAATCATGAACTTAATTTATTCAATCTATGGACTAAAACATCAGTGACATTTTTGTAATAGTAGTAAAATGTACGCGTACTATGTCGAAATGAACAATAGTGAACATGATAAAATTAGAAAAGTTCAGAAGCTTTTATTATGCACCAATTTCAGTTCATGTGGATCTCTCCTTCATCGTTTTGAAACCGATATCTATCATATTTTATTTGTTCACATATGAACGGTTTATTAGTTCAACGATGATCATTTATATGATAGGTAGCAGAAGTCAGTAGTTATAAAAATTGTTCACTAATGAACCTTTGACTAATTATTTGTGTATTAATGTCTGTGGTTCATGCATCAACATCATGTGAACATGATTCATTAATGAACATATCATTGAGAACACCAGAAACAAAGAAATATCATTCAAATGAATTTGAACATAATCATTGAGAATCTTGAAATGGATGATATAATTATTATCCATAAAAACAAGCAATTGTTTTTTGTTACATCCTATTAATATAATGAAGTAACTTACAAATGAAAATTACCTTTGAACCCTTAATCATGGACTCTAACATTTGAACTAACTATGACTAAAGAATGATTCTTATTGGTCCAAAGAGTTCAAGAAGTTGACAATATTCTTTTTGGAAACAAAAGATATTCCCTCTATCTCTCTCCCTCTATGTAAATAGAGGGAGGTTAAAATGAGAATGACAAAATGTTGAGAACGTGAGAGAAGATTACAAACGTTAACTAAATGAGATGATCCAATGGATGTGAGTAAAAATATAGTTATAACCACTTCAAAAAAAAGTTGCCGTCCTATTTTTTAATAAAAAATCGGCGAAATATAACCAAAGTTGGAGTCAAACAATTGTGAAAAACTGCATTTTATTCTCTTTAATCCATATTGTTAGACTTTTTCATCCATTTTCCCCACTCTTTCTTAATCTTTTTGTCGTTCTCATTTAAGCATGCCCCTATTTATATAAGGTTTGGGTTATGATAATAATTCAAACTTTGTGGGAACTGAAGGAACCATGGCCATTGCCGATCATCTTGTTATCCAACGACATTGATGCGAGTTTTTGTAAAGAAGTGGCACTTTGGTCTTTTGGTGTTTCACATATGGACACAAACGTATGTGTTTTCATGATAATGTATGTTAACATATGATAATTTGTATTAACATTTTCATGTTACCGTGTTTTAATGTATGTTAATATTTTCATGTTAATAGTGTTTAATTAGTGTATATATGATGTGCATTAACATATGTTAAGATATGTTGACATTTTCATTTTAGCGCGGGTTAACTTACTTTTGCATTTGTTGTGTTTTTAGCAAAATTAGGGCCATCAAAAAGGATATAAACAATTAAAGTTTACATAAAGTATAAACAATCAAAAAGGATAGACAAAGAACTTGGATGCTTAAATTAAAACATTACAAATGTTTGACATGATATGCCTCTACAAAATACATCACCAAAATCATCCACATTCAGCTGACAGCCATACAATTATACATCAATTCAAAATGGAATTTCATCGAGAGGAAAGGGTAATAATGTCTAAAAGGACAACGATTTAAAGGGAAGTTGATCCACTACGAATATTGCGATGGCAAAAACCATATATGACATGAAAGCAAAAATGGTGATTAAGATTGGTACCCATTGAGAATGGCTTTGATAAAGAATGAAAAGGCTTATAAGATAAGTGATTATAATACTTGCTATAGAATAATAAACTAAAACTATAGAAGATCTGATTTGCAGGGATGATGAAATCATTACGTTATGGCCACGATGATCAAGCATAATGAAAGCTATGACCATCAGAATTGAAGTTGCCGATAATAAAAATGACAAGCCATCGAATATTATGAAGATTTTGGAAATAGTTTTTGGAAGGAAGATAGGAATACCGGTATCCTCTTGGCTGTATCCGCCTGGAAATGTAAATATCGTTGCAAATGAGATGGTGGCTACAAGAGCTGCAACCACCATTAATTGGCTGGCTGTTCCATTCATCAACTTTTCCTCTTCGAAAAAAATATCTTTGTGGTTCTTGACGAATAGTTCGTAGGGTGTCAGACCAATTGCATTCTTCTGTTTGTAAAGATAACCAGGGAGTATACTCTCCACTCTCTAGCATCACAAAGATTATATCATTAACAATGATGGGATCATCCATTACAAACATGTCATATTACATGAAAGGGGAAATTTTCGATCAATCTAATTTCACAGGTTTTGTTAGTCATTATTAATAGTTTATAACCAATGGCTGAACTTGGGGTACTTTATGTTTTCAGTTTGTCTAATACCATATTTCAACTTAAAAAAATTTATATCTTTGATTTGGATTTTACAACACATAAACAGAATTCCAACTTCGTTTTCTGAAAGAAAAATGCACACAATGTTTTGGAATTGTAGTTGGAGAAGATGTTTCCATAGATTTAAAACACACCAAGAAAGGGAAAAGATATGTAACAAAGTTAAATTTGTATACGTTGCTTTGAGAGACATATGTACCTTAAACCACCGAAGTTCTAGATCCTTTAGCATGCCCAATCCTGAGATGTTTGGTAGTCTATTACCCTTTGCACACTCCCCAACTAAATGCAAAATGTTGTTGCCATTTTTGTCTTCGAGAGTAATGATTAAATCCCTGATGTGGTCTTTCTCCAATAATAGATTGTAGATACCCACATGACGATGCATGACAGCAACATGAAATATACTGTGGTTATCATCATTTAGCTCGAGGGCCAGATGTGGGTATTGTCGAATGAACTCAACTATAAATGCAGTGTTACCCATTTCTACAGCCAGAAATAATAATCGAGAAGGGTATTTTTGCTTTGTATCGTCCTCGGGTGGCCCTCTTATTAAATCATCAATTTCAGCCTTGGGCAATTTCATAATCTCTTTCAAAATGATCCTTAGTAATAGCAAGGCCTCCCTTTCTTTGTCCTTATGCAAGAGAATGACTGAATAAACTAAGAAACCAAAGAATGATTTTAATTTAGGTGGCCCTCTTCTTATGTCGTGAATCCACAACTTCGGGAAAATTCACAATCTCTTTCAACATGATTCTTAGTAATTGGAAGATATCATCTTCCTTGTATTCTTTTAGCCAATTAAAGCATACAATTATGTTTAAATGGAATCAAATTAATTAAAACTAGTAGTCAATTTGAAAATGTTGATGCATTAAAAGTACTTATGGGTTATATTGTGAGCGCACAACTGAAAACAATATAATACAAGTCAAAGGAATTGAGATTCTTACCTATATGGTTGGCTTCTTGAAAAGGGTTTCGTTCTATAGGAAGAAATGCATGAGTTTTTTGAGCCAATAATCTGAGTACACTCCCATTTATAGCAAGTTCGGGAAGGTCGCTCACTATTCGCAATGCGACATCTACAAAGCATTTGATAGTCACTTGATGAGAAAAATTTATGATAAACAGGTGACAGAACTAAGCAACCATTGGCGACATAATTGTGATATTATGTGCAAACCATTGCAGCAAAACATATTCTTAACGAAGTTTGATAGACCTAGACTGGCCAATCATTTATCCAAACACTTACCAAATAGATTAGCCTCAACGCAATTCTCAAAAACCAAACTCCGATTTTGATGTGTCCAGGACTGACCAATCATTTGTTGAGAAGATTTATATAAATACTCCACCATATTATGCCTTCCATATAAAGCAGCCACTTGGAGGGGCATCTTTCCTTGACTATTAGGGATATCTATCAGTCCCTCATTCTTTTCCACCAAAGTCTTGGCTATTTCAACATTTCCTGTTCTAGCTACTAAGCACAGGGTTGTTTCACCATTTCCATTTAGAAGTTTTAAGCCTTCCTTTGTCATCAAACTCATCAAATATTTCACGAACAAGCATGATTTTCCCAATACTGCAGCATGAATTATTGTTTCACCACTTTCAGTGATGCTAAACTGTACCAACTCTGGACGCTTGTCAAGAATGAGTTTAGCAGCTTCAAAATTGTTGGTTGTTATCGCTTTATACAAAGGAACACAAATTGCATTGAAGTCTTCTCCTCCTTCCAAGTAATTCCAAAATCAAGTTATTACTTATTCATCCAAAGATATATTGGTTTTTCAAGTGTGCATCACATGGAAGTTGCTATTCATATATCCTCCACGAGAATTAAATTTGAAGTTAACTTTGAAATGAGTATTCGAGAACATGGAATATAAAAGAAAACAAAGAACTTTCCTAAAGATAAATATCATACAAACTATTGATTAACAATGATTTTTTTAGCAAATTGAAGTGCATGTATATGATAGCAATTTGAATAACAAAATGACATCAAGTACCATGGGAACCGGTTTGGTAACTGTTGTAATATTTATGTATTACATGTGTTTATGGATGTTTCACTCGACCAAATCAATAAAAATTTGAAACTAGGTCACTACTCAACACAAAGCTTGCTCCTTACTCTTCTATGTTACTTGGCCACTACTCTACATAGCTTGTTCCGTACTCTTTCCAAGACTTGGTACCTACTCTTCGTTGGTATATAAGTACCACATTCAGCCACCAACATTTGATCACCCTGGTTTCTTGAGCTTCCTCTAGATATAACACCACAACACTTCCTTCTAGTATAATTTCGAGATATATATATATATATACATATATATATAGTATATGTGAGATACGAAATGTTCTTGGTATTCTTGAAGATTACTTAGTTGATGTTGGATCTAAGGATTTTTGTACAAGAACTTTGTAATCTCCTTGGTGGTAATAAATTTTTTGCTCTCTCCCGCTTTGATAAAGGTACACTATCACATCGATAGTGGAACCACATTAAATTCTTGTGTGAATATTTTGTGAACTTGTCATATAGGTAGATTCTATTATATAGTGTTATTATCTATTTTGTGGGGTTGTTTATTTTTTATAGAGTTCATTGTGTAACATCTAGATCATTGTTATCCACATTTCTTGTCCGATTTGTTGTGTAACTTTTGTTCTTGGATTTCTATTTAATGGAACCTTAAAAATCACTTGTTAGATTTGAATTGTGACACACCCATTCCTAACAATCAGTATCTGAGCTTCGGATCTGGATTTGGAGTTTGTGTAGAAAATAAACATAAGCTAGTTTGCATACATATTTTTCTCTATGGCTGAAGTAGAAAACCTATTTGCTATCGGTCCCAAACCAGACCCAAAGACTGTATCAAAAGGTACATTGAATTTATTTGAGGCTGAGATTCATATACAGACTTGGAATGGGGACGGTGACTTTGGTAATGGTAGTTCACAACATCTGTTGTACTTAGAAAGAATGGATTTCATCCCGTATTATTTGCTAAATATGAGTTAGACCCTAAAATGTCTGAACTTAAGACTAGGGAAATAAAAGCATGGGCATTTACTAGTTTTGCGGATAGCGATGAGAGAAAATGTTATATGTGATATTGTGTCTAAAAAGAAAGTTGCACGTATTTGGAGCAAGCTTGAGAATTTATATCTCAAGAAAATTTTGACCAGCAGATTGTTTCTGATGCGAACGTGTCTGTTGTTCAAAATATAAGAAGGAACAACAATTAAAACTCATATGAAATGATTCAAAGATATTATTACGAAGTTGAAGGCAACATATGCGCTTCTTGCTAAAGATGAAAAAGCACTTGCTATGATCCTGTCGTATTCCTTCCTTGAGAAATATTCTCAATTCACTAACAGTTTTATATTTGGAAGAGAAAATCTTTCTTTCTCTGATGTGAAAAAATGAATGATTTCTGAAGATTAATGAATTCAAATGAGAATAAGTAACAATCCAAAGGAGAAAAATCAAAGTTAAGGCCTATTTGCTGAAAGAGGCTGAGATGATCAACAATTTTCAAGAGGAAGAAAGCGTGTGTGCACTTAGTCCGACCGACCTAGTTCTTAGGGGAAATAAAAAATACATGATAATTGTTATTATTGCCACAAGTCAGGTTATTGGGTGAAATATTGTCTGAGCCTTAAAGACAAAGACAACTCTAAATCATCAACTGTTGCAACCGAAGAGGAGCAAGTTGGCTTTTCTGCCATAGTTACACCATCGCAAGGTTTCATGCATGAGTGTTAGATATCGGTGCATCTTTCTATATGACATCATTTCAGGATTGTTTCTCTACCTTCGAAAAAGTTGAAGGTAATAGTATTTATATAGGAAACAGTACTTCGTGTGTTACTAAAGGTACCGGTTTGTAAAGATCAATATGTTCGATGGGTATATTCGGACATTGAATAGTTCAACTTTGTTCCATCCATGACTCGTTCATCGATCTCTATTGGGCAACTGTCCAAAGTGGGTTGCATGATTCAGATTGAAAACAGGAGTTTGTGCATCTTCCGAGGGAGTGCTATTGTAATGAAAGCCAGGTAGGCTAAGAATAATCTTTTTCAGTTGATTGGGGAGACTATTCTTCTGAATCGTGTGTGGTCGATAGTCACTTAATCTTGACGTTACTCGCTTATGACATCTTCATATGGGCCACACATCTGAGAAAATATTGAAGATTTTGCGCAAGAGAAATCTCATGAGAGTCGTCAAACTTTCTAGCATTGATTTTTGTTCAGGATGTGTCAAAGAAAAGCATATGCGTGTTTCTTTTGGGGCTAGAAAATAGAACACTAAATGAATCCTTAATTATGTTCATACAGACATTTGGGACCATTAAGTACTCCGTCCCTCAGTAGAGATAAATACTTTGTTTTGTTTATTTATGATTTCTCATAAAAGCTTTGGGTGTAAGTTTTAAAGTTAAAGTTAGATGTCTAAGATACATTCAAGACTTGGTTAGTACAAGTATAAGTTGAGATTGGCAAGAAGTTGAAAGTGTTTAGATTTGACAACGGTGGAGAATTTATTAGTGGTAACCTTTGTTTGCATAAAGGCATCCACCATCACTGCAACACAGTCGACGACCCTCAGTCTAATGGGGTTGTCGAGCAGATGAATAAGACTTTTTTGGGAAAGGTCCAATGTATGTTGTCGACATTGGGATTCTCTAAATTGTTTTGGACCAAAGCACTTCACACCACTATGCATGTTATTAACAACATACCTTGTTCGGCTATCGAGGGAAATATTCTGGAAAAGGTTTGAAAGGTAAAAGAAACATCCGTCTGAAATACAAACATGTATTTGGTTTTCCTTTTTATGTTCTTGCTTTAGACAGGGCACCAAAGGATCTTTGCTAGACTATATAGATGATATTAAGGATTAACAAATTTGGAATGCCTTAACTTGTAAAATGATTGTTCTTGTCATGTAATATTTGATGAATTAGTCATGTTGAAGTCACAAGACCCTCAGTCCTCTCAAGATCTGAAAGTTGTTACTGTTATTGCTCCTACTGTCGATGATGTGGAGAGAGTAGACAATCCTTTTATTCCCAGTTTATCTACTCTTAATATTAGTTCAAGTCACCCAACAATGTTGAAAAAGTTATACTGCCAGTTACTTCAACTAGTGATTCTAAACAAGAAATTATGAATGATGGTGGAGACCAAGGCGATAGAATCTCAATTATTGCACCTACCAAGCATAGTCAAAGGAACTATTCGACCACCTGACAGTATGGAGATTGGGATTTTTCCAACATAAGCTTTACACATAAGTTGATGTTTGTTTCACATGTAGGGCAAGAGGATCCGTTTGATATAAAAGAGGCATTGGCCTCAATCCACAGTTCTAAATGGCTTGGATCCATGTAGGAAGAAATGAAATCTCTCTCGAAAAATAACACTTGGGACTTATGTCCATTACCAAAGGGTAGCCATGCTATTGGTTGTGAAATGGTTTTTCAATGTCAAAGATGACAATCGTTACAAGGCTTGTCTCGTTGGTAAAAGCTTTGATCATTAGAAAGGTATCGAGTATGACAATATTTTTTTCTCCTATTGTATGTCAAATATCTATTCGTGCTCTTTTGGCTGTCATGGCTATGCATGATTTGGAGCTAGAATAGTTAGATGTGAACAACACCTTCGTGCAAGGAGATTTGGATGAAACTATTTACATGAAGCAACTCGAAGACTTCATCTTCGAAGGAAAGCCAAATTATGTACGTAAGCTCAAAAAGTCCCTTTATTGACATAAACAGTCTATTCGTCAGTGATATAAGAAGTTTGATTTGTTTAAGCTCACTCTAGGGTTTGAGCAAAATGAAAAAGACGTTTGTGTTTATCATAGACAAAGCCATGGTATTTTCACTTATCTTCTTCTTTATGTAGATGACATGCTTATTACTTTCAAGGACCATTCAGATAGCGATAATCTGAAAGATAAGTTGAAGTAAGAATTTGAAATGAAGAATCTCAGTGTGGGACAAAAGATTTTGGGCATGGAAATTGTTTAGGACATAAATTCTCAAACATTTAGATTAACAAAGGACATATATCCAAATGATATTGAAGCGGTTCGATCTTGATGGTGCCACGACGTCTAGCACTCCGCTACCAAAGCACATCAAGATCACAAATGAATATTTTATGAAGGATGACAAAGGAAATACCGAAATATCAAAGATTCCATATGTTAGTGCGATTGGGAGTCTCATGTACGCCATGATGTGTACTCGTCCCAATCTCGTTCATTGTGTAGGAATGGTGAGTCGGTTTCTTGAGAATCCAGGTCGATCACATTGGGTAGCCATTAAAACGGCATTTTGATATTTGAATAGAACTGAGACACATGGTCTTATATTTTGTTTGCACAATGACTGTGAAATTGTTAAAATTTTGTGATTCTGACTATGCAGGTTAACGAGTAGGTTAGAGGTCCACATCCGGTTATGTTTTTACTTTGGATGGAACAACTATCAGTTGGAGATCACGGTTAAAATCCATTGTGACAATGTCAACCATAGAAGCCGAACTTTTTGTGGCGGTTGAGTCTGTAAAGGAAGTTGTCCATTTGAAATAATTAATGAATGACTTAGGTTTTGAGCAACATTTTGTATGCATTTTCCTGTGATAATTAGAGTGCCATCCATTTGACAAATAATATGGCTTTCAATTTTAAAAAAACACATAAGTGTACATGATGCATATCTTGTTAGATTACATGAAATGAAGGTCGTCTATTTTAAGGAAGTCCTAACAGACTACAATGTTGTTGACATGTTCACTAAGTCGTTACCGCTAGCTAAGTTTGAGCATTGCTCAAATTTGATTCAGCTTCGTTTGTGTTAGTGTCGTCGGGTACTTTTTTCAATAGAGAGTAGATATTACCACATGTGACAAAACAACATCTTTGAAGGAATTACTTCGTTAAGTGTTTTAGATATTTGCTTTGCTTTGCTCTACCTTGTTTAAGTGGATTGTGCATTTGAGATTATATTTTTGCTTGTAACTTTGACGGGTAATTGCCATGCCGAAGCTCGTCATGGTTGGAATGAAATTTGCTACCTCATGCCAATTTACTTGCTATCTACTTGTTATGATCAACTATTATAAGAACTCATATTTGTTGGATTGGGATTAGTTTCGCTTTCGGGGATCTCGTGCATAGTGGAGTGTTGTAATATTTATATATTACATTTTTTTATGGATGTTGCACTCGACCAAATCAGCAAAAGATCGAAACTTATTTACTACTCAAGACGAAGCTTGCTCCCTACTCTTCTCCGAACTTGGCAACTGCTCTACGTAGCTTGCTCCCTACTCTTACCAAGACTTGGTAACTATTCTTATGTTGGTATACTAATACAACATTTGGCCTCCAACATTTAATCACCCCGGTTTCTTGAGCTTCCTCTAAATACAACACCACAACACTTCCTTCTAGTATCCTTTTGATATATATATATATATATATAGACATAGTCAAATGAGAACCACAAAAAGGTTGCAAACCTATGAGAACCGATATAAAAATATTTTTTACATTACTTTTCTTCATCAAAAGCTATGATTTAACATATTCTTCACATATGTTTATGTTCAACTTATGAAAAAAATTTCATGTGAAACTTTTTTTTCTGATTCACTTAGTGAAACGAAAAATACATATAAAAATCATTCATATGGTGAAACAAATACATGTGAAAATATTACACTATGAAACAAATATATGTGTACCAATATTTTAATTCTAGCATTTGATGAAAAATATTCATGTAAAAATTTAATTGTAAATAGATTCTTACAGAGGTTGTAACCTTTTTGTGGTTCTCATTTAATTGAACCCCTATATATATGTGTGTGCGTGTGTGTGTGTATGTATGTGTGTGAGAGATGAGAGTGTTCTTGAAGTTCCAAGAACATTTGCTAGTTGATCTTGGATCTAATTAAGGATCTTTGTACAAGCAATTTGTAATCTCCTTGGTGGTAATAAAATTATTGTTCTCTCTTTGATGGACGTACACTATCACATCAATAGTGGAACCACGTTAAATTCTTGTGTTGATATTTTGTGAACCTGTCATATACGTAGATTCTAACTTATATTGTTATTATCTATTTTGTGGGATTGTTTATTTTCGATAGAGTCGTTGTGCAACATTTAGATCATTGTTATCTGCATTTGTTGTTGGGTTTGTTGTATCCTTGATTTTCTATGTGAAGGAACCTTAGAAATCACTTGTTAGATTTGAATTGTGAAACACCCATTCCAAATGGTAACAACTCATTATAAGATAGAGGACTTACCTACAAGTAGATTTAGACGAGATAGATTCATGATAGATGATTTTGTGAAGCGATTGGATTGTAAACATGGTCATACTCAGTCATGGGGTTCAGCTCATTGATCAATCTTAAGACTATATTTATCAAGAAATGGAGCCAATTTCCAATAAAAAATTATTTTCTCTTATCTACAAATAGAAGTGCTTCTAATCCTAATCCAACTCGAGTTAATTTAGGTTATGTTTGAAAAACTAGCTGAAAAGGTTGTCACTACTAGAAAACCAGGTATCAGCGACGAATATCAGCGAGGGAAAATTTCCCTCGCAGATCAACGAGGGAAATGCCAAAAAACTCATTCCTTAGTTGATCCCTCGCTGATATGCGAGGGAAAGTTTCCCTCGCTGATCCCTCGCAGATCAGCGAGGGAAATACCAAAAAACCTCATTCCCTCGCTGATCCCTTGCTAATCTGCGAGGGAAAGTTTCCCTCGCTGATCCCTCGCAGATCAGCGAGGGAATTGCCAAAAAACTCATTCCCTCGCAAATCAGCAAGGGATCAGCAAGGGAAATGGCAAAAAATCAAATTCCCTCGCTGATCCCTCGCAAATCAGCGAAGGATCAGCGAGGGAAATGACAAAATTCACATTCCCTCACAGATCCCTCGCTGATCTGCGAGGGATCAGCGAGGGATTTTTCTATTTTTCTTATTTTCTCATTTTTATGTGTTATATATACATATTTTTATGTGTTGATGTCGTATGTATGCATGTACATGTGTTGTTTGTGTATATATATATATATACATGTATATATATACATCGATCCAATCGTAAAATCGAATAAAGCCTAGTAAAACTGAATCAACGAGTATATATATACATCGTTCCAATCGTGGTTAATAACCACCACACATCTATACACATCGTGTATTCATATGTATATAACACGGACTGACGAGTATATATACCTATAACAAATACAACATCGTGTAAAATAACATATAAATTTATAATGTTTAGCAAAAACTAGCTGATAAACTAGTTAAAATTAATAACCAAAAATAACATGTTAAAAAATTAGTCTATTCTAATATTTTATAACACAATTAAAACAAATAACCGTTAATATATTATGTTGACAAATATAAATCAGATGGTAAAAAATTTAAATAATGTAATATGATAATTATCTAAAATCATATATGATAGAAATAATGTAATATGAGACCAATTTGTGAGAGAAATGACTATTTTGACCGATTTCTTGCTTTAAAATCATATATGATAGAAAGAACTTACCATCAAGTAGATCCCTACGAGGTAGATTTGATGGTGGTAATTGTGATGGCTGACTATGTGAAGCATTCACGATATTAATTTGATGGTGTTGGTTCCCAGTTGATGCGTTCATCTCTTCGGCTTGCTTAGAGTTATAACGAAAAGAGTATTTAGAGATATTATATCTTAAAATACGTAAATTGGTACGATCAATTTTTACCTGTCATATGTTTATCACTGAATGAAAAATGAGGTCTTAAGCGCATGAACTTATATAGAGTTTTATGGTCAACCTAATTATGTAATTTAATTAGAGAAATAATCTTAAATAGATTCCTTTCCACATAAAACAAAAAAAACTTATGTATAAAAAACTCAATTTAAAAAGACAGAGATTCCCCTTAGATGATGGGTTAACAGCAGTGTAGATTTAAACAAAGTTCGATCTAAGGATCCAATTCGTAAGAAAATTAAAACTACAGTAACAATAGATGTAATTATTTTTATTTAAAGGATTTTCATATAACCACATTAACGAAATTTGTAATTTACTCTTTTAAATTGCTCAAGCACATGATATTATAACATTTTAAAAAGATATATTTTTAATTTTGATTATATATGCATTAACAAATCATCACAATAAGACAAATAATGAATTTTCAGAAATTATATATTTGGAAAGAATTTAAGATGACAAACTTTTTTAGACATGTTTTTATGACCATAAATTTTTGTATTTTAAATAATTATAACTTTAAAGTTTATAAATGAATGAAACATTCCCATTTTAAAATATTAAGTTTCTGAACAATCTTTATATAAAATAAAATATTGAACTTTTAGAAATAGGTTATCTACATAATTTGAATCCAAAGAGCTACTTGTAACCGACCTGGAAGGGTTTTGAGTTAAAGAAAACATTAATTAGTTTTACTGTTCCCAAGTCTTACGTCGTTCATACTCCTTGCACACAATGACATCATTCCCCCCTCACCATGCTTCGATGCCCTATTGCAATCTGTCTCCATACTGCCCATCGTCGTCGTTGTCCCTGTCATCGATCTCCCTTTTTTAGTTTTTTTGGTCTTTCAGTTAGTTCTCCATTTTTATAACAATTTAATAGAGTTCTTCTAGACAAATCAAAAATAGGGAGAATCGAAAAAAAACCAATCAAAAAGAGGGAAATCGTTGGCAGAGCAACAACGGTGGTGGACGGTGATTAAGAAAGAAGTTGACAAAGACCGGACAATGATAGGCCAAAGAGGGGTGGCAGCGTTGAATGTGAACCAGTCTGAATGACATAATGTTTGGGAACAATAAAACTAAATTTAGATTTTTTTATTATATAAATCCTTTCCAACTGATTACAGATAGTTTTTTCGGGGTTAAAATGACGTTGATGACGAATTTCTAAATTTTCGATGATTTATTTATTCAGCAAAATTGTTCAGGTACTAAATCATTCAACATTAAAAAGTTCAATGGTTTTTTTCATTTAAAATTAATCATGAAAAAAGGTTTTTCTGGACTTCTATTTTTATTATCTAACCATCAAAAGAATGATACTTGACTTTTGGAAAACAAGACACCTCTAGTTTTATGATCATATATTCTAAAAGAAGCATAAGAGCGAAAATGTAGGTATGAATGTTTGAAGGTTGAGAAGGCCAAAATTGGTAATAACATTAAATTATAATTTTTTTATCAAAGTAAATTATGGTCTCGTCTATCTAATATTAACGGACACCATAGCGACCACCAACCACTACTACTTGCTTTCTAAACCTCCATCTCTACTCGGTGTGGTGGTAAGGTTCTAAGTTAGCCCAAGTTCACTGTTTGTCTCTCTAACCAATGTGAGCAGGGGTGAAACTACCTTACGGGGAAAGGGGTCCCGTGCTACCGCTCAACCTTGTTTTATAAGGAGGAAAATTTTCGGGGTATGTAAGATACACCCTTTAAATTTCGATGGGTGGTCCATAATATTATGAGGCTGGCAATTAGTAAGATGGTAAATGGTAAAATTAAATAGTTAGACTTTAGTTACTAGTTAGTCAAACAAGGAGGCTGGAAATTGGCAAACGGTGAAAGTGAAAGTGTGAAACAAAAACCAAAGCCCAAAGCCAAAGGTTTCCCGTCTCCCTTCGGTATTCGGTTGACCGCTTGACTGCCTGAGATCGTCGCCGACCGCCACTCCAACACCTATGGTTGTTCCTCTCTCTTTAATCAGCTTGACACTTGAGTCTTGACAGCTCCTATCTCTCACTCTCAACTCTAAGGGTTTAATTTCTTTTAAAACCTAACTTTGCCCTAAATTTTTTCTTTATGATTTTTCCCTAAATTACAATGTTAAATGTTTATCAATTATGTATTACTTATTAGTCAATTATTCAATTTGTTTAATTGTTTGTCACTTTGTCCTAAATTTATATGATTATTGATTTATTTGTTTGCCCTAAATCTACTTAATTAGTAATTGTTATCATCTTATTGATATGATTTATTTGTTTTCCCCAAATTGTTTTGATTAGTGTTGATATGGACAAATTTTTTAAAAAGAAAAGCTCCCTCGGAATCGGGTGCAATTACCCCAACCCCTACTAGATTTGTGTTTACCAATGCTTCAAATGCAGGTGCAACAAGTACCACACCTATGAATAACACACCAAGAGCAATAGACGTGGATAATCTTCCTTGTGATCCATCTGAACCACCAAATTTTTGACTTACGACCCTAATCAAAGAGATGAAATAAGACGACCTTGCCAACCACGTGGTCATGTCTTCCCAACTATAAAAATAGGGTTTAAACTAAGACGTTTTGTTCCCACATGGTTTGATGAGTTCCGTTGGGTAGAGTATAGCGTGAAAATGGACAAAGCCTATTGTTTGTGTTGTTATTTGTTTAGAGACGAGAACCCATAATTTGGTAGTGATACATTTGTCACAGACGGGTTTAATAACTGGGCTAAAAAAGAAAGGTTGTCGTTGCACGTTGGTGAAGTAAGCAGTTTCCACTACTAAGCATAAAAGAAATTTTGAAGCTTTGGTGACACAAAAATAATCTATTGTCGTGGCTTTCCATAAGCAAATCAAAAAAGAGAAAATTGAAAACAGAATGTGATTGAATGTGTCAATAGATGTTTGTAGATTTTTGCTTAAATTTGACTTACCATTTTGTGGCCATGATAGTCAGAGATATCTTTGAATCAAGGACTATTCAAAGGTCAGTTAGAATTCCTTGGTGAGGCAAATGAGAGAGTTCGAAAAATTATATTAGACAATGCTCTAGGGAATTGTCAATTGACCTCTCCAAAGAATTCAGAAAGATATTGCTAATTGTTTTGCAGAAGCAGTAGTAACATCGATTATAGATGAGATTGGCAACGATGTGTTTGCTTTGTTAGTTGATGAGTCTAGTGATATCTCAAATAAGGAACAAATGGTTGTTGTTTTGAGATATGTTGATGCATGTGGATCAGTTAAACAAAGCTTTGTTGGTCTTCTTCACGTGATGGAGATAACTTCTGAAACCCTTAAAAGCGAAATTGATGCTTTATTTGCTAAACTTGGATTGAGCTTGAAACAAGTATAGCAATAAATCTATTATTCTTGAATCTCTAAGCCATGAAATCTATTATTCTTGAAACTCTAGTTCTCTATTGGGTTGGTTAGATTTAATTTTAAGCCACCTTATTTTTTCTAAATATATTAAAGGAACAACCAATGGCGAATGAATGGCTGGATGAGGTTTGAGAAAATTTTCAAATCTTGGATTGTGATTTAAGTTGGTTGTCTCACACTGATGCAGAGAAAAATGTTTGACAAATATTAATAATTATAAAAGGAAGAGATGATCAATTGAGATGTGAAAATTTGAGTTGGTTAGGTGTAAATTTTAACCACCATTCTTTTCCAAAAGTAATATTTGTTTAAAAATATATAGTTTGCTCATTTTGCTCGAATCGGTTTAAAAAACCAAAGAGTTAGTATATAGGAGGAGATAAAGAATTGGATTGTTGTTTAAGTTGATTGTCCTGCATTGATAAAGAGAATAATGTTTGACAAATATTATGAATATATTAAAGGAAGAGATAATAAAGTGAAATGTGAAATGCTTGGGTTGGTTAAATGTAACTTTTAGCCACCTTAGTTTTCTAAATTCACGTTGTTGGCTCATTTTAGCCAACCCTCTTTTAACAAAAAAATGTTAACTATTAAAAGTAAAAAATAAAAAAAATCTTTATTAAATTTAAGTATTTTAAAATCTTGAAGTATGTTGTGATTTTGGTTATCTTTTGTCAACCTTCTTTTAAATTTGTTTTTGTTAAGTCGGCATATGAAATGATTATTAGATTTAAGTAATTTTTTTTTTGAATTGTGGTATGATTTTGGTTATCTTACAAGTATGAGAAGATGATTGAATGCACAATATATATGGTATATTAAAAGAGTGTATTTCTTTAAAAAATTAGTTGGATGAAATATAATTTTTGACCGACTCTCCTTTTACAAAAAGAATATATATACACACACAAATTATTTAATCAAATATAAAAATAGCATAATATTGACAAATATCAATAGTGAAAACTAAAGTTTATAACGTATTTTTTGGAGGGATCTTTCTATGTAAAGATGTTTATCTATATATGTATACATATAAATGAAGATTGTGGAGCATGAAGTAGTATTATGAGATTTAAGTATAAAAAATATTCATTTGTGATGTTGTTTTCGTTATTAATATTAATGGGAAAAATGATAAATTAAAGGTCATTATATATATATATATATATATATATATATATAAAATAGATGTATGAAATACATTATGATATTTTATTTAAAATATTTATTAAAACCAAATGTCAAATTATTTTTACATAAATTTTGATCATCGCGCAACGGATGATGTCAAGCACTAATTAATAATNAACATATTATATTATTTCATTTTTCTTTACCATAATGTTTATATTATTAAAAATTTGTTTTAATTATATTATGATATATTTTAATTAACAAATTTTTCAAGATACAATTTTTGATCATTTTACATTCTTATTAGCTAGTTTTTGTCATACATGATTTATTCATAAGTTACTTTCAGCTACAAACTAGCTTATC